ATAATGTGTCCTTTAAAACTCTCAATATTAAAATGATCAGTGACTGCTTTGTGCCTGATTTAGTTTAAATTGTAAATTCAGTTATGGCTCTTGGGTTACAAGATGGGGGGAGATGTCTTAATATAGGAAATAAACACAATTACAGGCTAGAAAAGCTAGGTGTGCAATACATTTCTAAATGAATTTCTGGAAACAATGTGAAAATCAACATGAACAATGACACATAACACCATGAAACAATAATTATTATTGTTACCTAGACTGTAATTACACATCAGGCAATACATTTCATATATTTTCATTCATACTACTCAACCACAGTGTTTTATGATTTAGAGTTGTTGCCTAATCTCTTGCTTAAAATCTTACAAGTTCTTGCCAATTCAAACTGAAACCACCAGGTTAAATACTATCTGGCAGTACTGTGATCTTGATATTCAGGCAAGACTTCTATATCTAGTTAGGATGCATAAAGCCAAAAGATATTATCTGTCCCACCCTAACAATCAGAACAAATCAAGTGAATTGCAAAATTGAGTTTTTGAAAAGTGTATTGGAGATCTGAGAATATAAATAAATCTAAAAGAGTGAAATTCCAGAAAGTGTCAAGGAGAACAGGAATTCATGACTATTTTCACTACCTGGAGGAATAGTGAAAGGAGAAGGACATTTCCATAGAGGAAACAGTTACATATTTAAGAATTTTTAATGTGTTTGGAGTGGTGTGATATATGAGAATCCCAGGAACCCAAACATAGACTATGTTGACATGTACCAGACTACTCTCTTCCTGTGGGTCTTCACTGTTGCCCACCAAATGTGGAGCCACAGCAGCTGAATGGAGAGAGGTTCTCCAGAACACAAGCATGATCTTTTCTCAATGAAAGACAGATGCCTGCTGAAGCATAGGGCTGGGACAGAGCATTGAGAGAAATCCTTCCAATTATCCACATCTTCACCAGTTGTTCACTGCATTGGCTCTTGGAAGACCCCAGGAAGACAAGATCAGCAGAAAGATGTCCAGGCCAGGACTAGGGAGCAAAAAGATCTCTCCAGAAATCTAAAAACCTAGTAGCTGGTCTGTAATAGCAGCAAATGATAGCCTTTAGTTTGGAAAATTTGTGGCTGGTCTACTACTACTAATAAAGAGACTTTGGACTCTTTTAGGAAGTCCCAAGTCCTGCAGAAGTCAAATTTTTGATCCAAACCTCAAAACATTTATAACTGAGGAGAACTAAACTCAACTAAAGCCACAATAAAATTCAGGCATGGCATAACTAAATATGATAAGCAGCCTGATAACAGAAATGCTGTACCATTCTGGCGATAATTATCTCTATAAGTCTCTTGTTCTTTTCCTTAAACTCTCTGGCCATGTATTGAAAAAAATTACAAGACCTGAGAAAACAATCTAATGCAAGGACAAGAGTCTTCTTGAGAATTCTCTATAAAATAGATTGAGACAGAGAACTAAAATTATTAGGTAGAGGCTTAAGATATTCATTATAAATGTGAAAAATGATCTAGTGGAAAAGATGGAAAACATTCATGAAAAGATGTGGATTTGCCAGAGGTTTGTAAAGATATCCAAATGGAAGTAAGAGAAGTGAAGAATGCTACATGAGAAATAAAGAATTTACTTGGTGTAAGGGAGATGGAACATAGCAGAAGAAAGAATCAGTGAAGTTGAAGACAGAATAATAGAAATTAGCCAATCTGAAAACTAAAATCAAACAGAAAAATGGTCAAACTGTTTTGAGATCTGTGGAACAATATCAAATGTGATATTCCCGTAATTGAATTTTCTAAGGAATTGAGTGGAAGATTTGGACAGAAATTATCACTTCAATCTCCACATGGCTTTCATTGGCCATCATTTTGAAAGTGGGTCTCTATCTTAACCTTAGTCATTCTCAGTCTCATTACTTGGTTTTAGTGCCTCAATGAAACTCATTACTAAATAAATATTTCCTCCATTTTTAATTTTATCCTACCAATATTTGTTAAACATATACCATGTCAAACACTATTTTAAATATAATATTGACAGGGTCTCTTTTCTCACAAAACTTACACCTTCCTTAGGGCATGCATTTTATAGGAAGAGAGATCATTTTTATTTATTTTTTCTCATTTATCTCTGAATCTTGACATCCTAGAATAGTACTTGTTACATACTAGGAACTCAAATACATTTCATAGGAAACTAGTTAATTAATTGTCATATATGTCATTTCTAAGTTCTTTTTTAATACTGTCTCTTCCACGATTGTCAAGTAAAAACTCTAAAACCTGATCTGCTACTATTTCTTTTCCTTTATTTTCTTCACCCTTAGGCTCCACTTTTTCTGATTTCTCCAAAGGAGTTATCCACATATGGGTAGTTTTCACAAATACCAAGACATATATTGATGTTAACTAGAATTTTGATAAGGGAATCCAGATGTTGGGAGAAGAATAATGACAGGTATCAGTGTTCACATCACCATGTCTGGTGGCTGTGTATGTAGACCTCTGTTCTTTAATGACAGTGGCATTTAGGTGTTCCCAGAGCCAAGTCCCATGTCTAGCAGAACTAAGGTGCTTCTTTTTCCTATACTTTATTACATTTTATTAAATTTCATGTTGAAGAGTGCATATCTTAAAATTTTTAATGGTGCATAAAAATCAGGCATATATATAAAGGATACGTGATATGAAAGGATTTTTAAGGCAACTATAAAAATGCTTTTTAAAAATTATTACTTCTGTTTAAAATCCATGTCCCTTGGCCTGAGGATGTGGCTCAAGTGATAGCACGCTCGCCTGGCATGCTTGCAGCCGGGGTTCGATCCTCAGCACCACATACAAACAAAGATGTTGTGTCCGCCGAAAACTAAAAAATAAATATTAAAAAAATCTCTCTCTCTCTCTCTCTCTCTCTCTCTCTCTCTCTCTCTCTCTCTCTCTGTCTGTCTTTAAAAAAAAATCCATGTCCCTTACTCTATTGACTGAATCTGAGAAACAGATTACCAAATCTGTCACTCTTTCAGTGATTGCTTATGTAGGATATATTAAATCTTACACTGGAATTCTCTACTGGTACTATTCTATTCTCATAGTACTAACTAAGGAACTCATATACATCTCCTGTGATTTTTTTGATTCATATCAGAATTAATCTCATTCATCAGTGGAGAAGACTTTTAATCTTAGAGAGAAATCTGATGATAGTTGAAAAATGCAGTTGCCTTCATTTAGCATTATCTATGAAAAAGCATAAATGAATTATTATGGATAAAGTTATCAAATGCCAGAGAATCTTTGAGTTATTAATTATCAAAGGTCATCTAGCTACATCCGTTTGCTTACTAATGGGACACACTGAGGGTTAGAGATCTTTACCCCAGACTTGTGCCAACTAGTGCTGTTTGTACACATTTGTTTTCTATATCACACTTTTTCCTCTAAATATGTTTTGATTATTGCTAATTTCCCTTACCTACCACTAAATAAAACATACACAAGTGAATAGTCTTAAATATCAATGCACGTTGTTTAGAATTATATTTTTCCAAAGGGCATGAGTCCTATCATAATTAATGATGACTTAATTTATTAGTAATAATTAGCCATTTTTGTGCCAATTGCTAGGTTGAGTGATACTTTATCACTAATCATCAGCACAAGTTCATAAGTTGATGGTTGCTGTTTCTTATTTATTTATTTATTTATTGTAGAGCTGGGGATCAAACCCATGCAGGGCCTTGCACATGCTAGGCCAGCAGTCTACTACTCATCTACAATATGTAAGATAAAAGCACCAGAGTGACAAAGCCAGAAATTGAGCTCTGTAGTTTTCTCTCTCTCTTATAGACAGCACAGTTATAATATCTACCTAATATCACTACTGACCATAAAAAATACAGGAATAAAAACAAGAAAAGAAACAAACAAATTACAGGCCACTGTGATAGATATTTCTTTCTGTCTAGGATTAAAACAAGCAAATGTATGCTAAATTAATTTCTTGTATAAAAATATATTTACAAATGCATTAATAATTTATGAAACATTCAAGGCATGCCTGTTATTTCAGCAACTCAGGAGTCTGAGGCAGAATGATCTAAGTTTAAGACTATTCTTGGCAACTTAGTGAGACTCTGTCTTGAAATAAATAATTAAAAGGACTGGGGGTACAGCTCAGTGTGAGAGCTCCCCTGGGATCAATCTCTAATACCCTCATACGCTCCAAAAAAAATCCTTATGAGTTTGATATTGCCATTTTATTTTTTAAACTTAAGTATTTTTTTAAGGGCTTACAAGTTGATTAGGTAAAATAGAAAATAAAATTTTATAAAATAAAATAAGCTATATTGATCTTTCTAATCATATAATAACACCACTGTCTTATTGTCTTCTACTATTAATAATTTTTATTAGCTCAAATTTACTAAGCTGTATATCATGTTCTACTGATTAATAGTTTGAAATGAATATTTAACATATTCTCTATATAATTAGAAAGGACACCTAATAATTTGTATTGAAATTTGTAATACTCTACAAATCCAAATTTGTTCAATATCTTCTTTAAAAATGCTCACCATTTTTACTACTTAAACTCTTAAATTTTCCTTAGCTAATATTTTGACTCAGTTGAAATCCTCACTCAATTTTGTAAATGCTTTAAAAAATGTAATGTCCTATGTGTATAAGAATTTATTAGCAACAAGCCCCCAAAGCCATTTTCTCAATCCCAATTTACACTGCAGTAACCAAAACCATATTCACATTTTTAGAAGATATCTTTACTGGTATTCACAAGAACCAATACAAAAAATCTTCTATACCGTATTTTTAAAAATGTAAGAACTTGCAGAATGTTAAACATGTTCATTTTCAAATTATCAATTATTTTTCTTTAAGAGATGTTATAAGTAACATTTTAAAAGCTGCAGATGGATTTTGGCTATTGATTTCCTTTAGTTGTTTCTTGCCTGGTTGATCAGGTTTCCTCATCATAGCTGTCTACTAATTACTTCTAAATAATGAGCTCACTCATAACATTCCTGTGAACAAAACTTTCTTACCAGTACTGCTTCAACCTTATCAATTTATTTACAGTGCCTGACACATTATGATCACTGAAATAAGTATTTATTGACTTTTTTCTTTTTCATGTTTAGAATTTGAATGACTACATTTCTTCCCAAAATTAGATTTAAGCAACTGATTAATAGATTCATGAGACTAATTGGGTAGGGGGTTGGGGGTGAGGAAGGTATAGGGGAAAATTGTGGAATATAAGAAAATAAAAGGTTAAATACTGTACCAGGATCTGGGAGATCTAGTCATTCACAGCTGTCTCCAACCATACGAACTCTGGCAAATGATAATTTCATCTAAAAACAAAGAGGTTGGGCAAAGTTATCACTGCCCCAACAATGATTTGATTGAGTAGATCTTTCATCTAGGCTCAGACATCACCTTTATAATATATAACTTTCAGGATACTGTTACAGTGTATATTGACTAGTAGAAGAAAAAGCTTTTCCATTTTAATTGAACCGTAAATACTTAGCCATTTTTTTTAGGTCTCTTTGAATTGCACATAAGAAAAGCCGGTGGAATCTTGTGCTCAGAAAATATATGAGATCATTCCAGAGGTGAATACATGCTATTTTCTATTTCCTGCTCCATTTTAGTCATATGTAATGAAATAGTTTGATGGGAGCAACATAGAAAATTGCTGAGAATTTTTATATTCTGAGGTTCTTTGACTGTTGGCTGAGTTGGCAAAGGAGCAGGATTAATATCTATTTCTGGAAAAAAATTTTGAGAGAGAGGTACATTTTCAGGGAGAGAATTTTTTCTTCTTGCTTCATTGGACAAAAAAGCTTTATCTTGTTCTGTGAGGTTAACTATGGGAACAGACCACTGCTGGGAGCTGGGAAACACAAGGCAGAAAGAGGAAGGGAAAGAATGCTCTGTTAGTTTCCTGGCTAGACAGGTCACATTTCACTTGGGGCATGAAGATGAGGGTAAGAGTTTTAAATCAGCTGTGAAATTATTTTGGTACCTAGTGTAGAGTGGAGGATTGGGGTTATGTTTTCTTAGTAATTTCATATAATAGACAAACAGGAGTTTTGTAGTATTCCCTGTATGTACTGAAGGTATAGATTTTTGGGTACCCCAAAATGTCAGTCATTTGGCAAAGGAGAAATAGGAGTCCATTTGCGTTGGAATTTAAGTTAATAATCAGGACAAAGAAATCAAGAAGGTCAATTTGACTTTCAATATCTGGAAGCGTCCTTCTTTAATTCTAATTTGTTATTATGACAGCAGAAGGCATTTCAATTCATAGTACACATATGAGCACAATTTTTCATGTCTCTGGTTATACAGAAAGTCAAGTCACACCGTTCATGTCTTCATACATATACTTAGGGTAATGATGTCTCTCTCATTCCACCATCTTTTCTACCCCTCTGCCCCGTCCCTTCTTCTTCCTCCCCTTTGCCCTATCTAAAGTTTCCTTCCATGCCCCCCACTAGGTGCCCACCCTGGAAGCTTACCTTTTTATAGATATGCCATCAAATAAATAATTAACTTCAAAAATAAACAAAGAAAAAAGATACATCCTTACCTATTTGTCTCTCCTTTGGGTCATATTATCCCAACTTAGTAGCTGTTGATAGGAATATTCTCTAAAGGCCTAATGAAGATTAAGAAATAGTTCAGGCTCAAAACAAGTTAATTCACACGTGTGCTGCATAATGATCAAGTCCTTCTTCTACTAACTGTGAATCTTAAATTGCTATGCCATAGGATTTGCAGAAACATCATATGGAACAAAGTTCTGATTTGCCCTAAATTATTAGTAACATCTACTGATTTAGTGCCTATCCTTATTTTCTCATAAGAGTTTTGTATCACTGGTGATAGTTAATCTCCTTTGATCAGTTAGCACCCTTTAGAACTTAATTTTGCCCTTTTCTAGAACACCTTTTTTTTTATGTACTCTGCCCTCTGAAACCTGCATATTCTTAGTATTTCCTGATCATTTATATATTCTCCTAGACCCTTGCATCTACCTCTTTGCCTTCACTAAAATATCTGTTTGCACTGAAACTGAAGAACATTTTTTCAGATCTCTTAGAGAACATTTTTCTGTTTCTCCCTGCCTACCCCTCCTCATGTCCTCCTGCATATCCACCTCTCTGTTTTTAAACCAGTAGTTGCATCCAACATTCTTCTTGCCTCTCACTGCCACTCCTGGGTATTGAATCACCATTGTATGTTCTGAGCCATGTACCACATTTCCTATCCAATGTCCTGTAGATCCTTGCTCCTTGATACCTTCTCTTCTTCCCCCTCATCCCCAAATAGTCATGAAGGTTTTGGCATGTTACTTTTAATCTTCATCTATCATCATCCCAGCCAGCTTTAAAATCAAAATTTATGGTCTTTGTTAGCCAAGTCTTAACTTTTTATTCTTTGGTTAATTTTGCCATTATGCCACCACCTTTTTCCCAGAAACAGCTGCTCGTTTATTTTTCCACAGAATGATAGCACTTCTGTCTTGAAAGGTGGGATCCTGTTATCTCACCAAGAATCCATACCTTCTTTATCTAGACCACCAGTACTTTAGACAAGCCCATGTCTCTTAACTCCTTCCCTCCAACTCTCCACCCATTCTTAGTCTTTTAGGCCTCTTCCTCCAGCCTATAATTAATAAACACTAATTTCAACTAGTACTTTTATAATGAATAATAATGAAAACTTTTGAAATTACTATAAAAATGCTTTTTCATGCACCACCCAGGTCTGAAGTGTTAACATTTTTGTTTGTTTTACTACATTATTTGATGAAAGTTGTAAAGAATTAAGAAGATGCAGGTTATTTTTTGATAAACAAAGTCAATATGTGTAGTATATATAAGATTTTGCAGTTGAAATGCAAATGAGAAGTGAAACTTGTGAAAAAGGGAGTAATCGAAAGAATGAATGATGTTAAGGTTTAAATGAGAACTTTTTTGCAATTCGATGTAGAGGGAATTGAGGAATTTAGGTGAAGACATTTCATGATTGGATTAAGTCTGTTGGAAAATGTTAGTTTTGCTTTTCTCAACATTGATGTTTAACTACTAGTGTAGCACTGTGATTGTTATGAACACTTACTAATCATAGGCAGTAAGGTACCCCTCCTATGTTTTCCTTTGGAGCAACAGAGAGCTGTGTCATTAAGTGGAAAATGGAGTTTTCAAAAGGTAATAGTATTAAAGGAAGAGTTGAAGCTTCTAACTTTCCCCTTTTTCCTATTTTTTATAGTTTTAGTAGCAAAGTATTCCCAATTTATAGTTAATTAATAGGATAATGTCATGATGACATCTTTATTGGTAATTTCTGCTTTTTTTGAAGTTCTGTGTTACACTGAAATATCTTGATTTGCCTAATTATATTCTACTGAAAGGTTCCAAATAGGCAAATCATTAGTTTATTAAAGAGATCATCTTCATGAGTGGGGGGACCTATACCAAATGTTTTGCTTGAATTTAACAATTTTGATAATATCTAGTTTCCCTGCTGATTTAAAAATTAATCATCTATACTTTAAAAATTAATCATCTATACCAGATGTAAAAATACTCATCATCTATGGATTTCAAGTGAATGAATGCATTCCACATTTTTTTGTCAATTTTTTAACAGTGCAATACCCAAAATAGAGTCTATTGTATGTCATTAAATGTCTAGGGTAGACTCATTTTCTGAAATTAATGTAATTTTATTGTCATAACTTCATATATTTTAATGTAAAAGATCTGAACATTTGAAAATCTGAATTAGTTAAGCCTTTACATTCAGAACATATTACAATAAAGACAATGCGAGCAGCTAGCAATGGTCAGGTTAGGGCCATTTGTTTGCCTGGGATTGTACATTGTGGAAAACAAGAGAAAAATATAGGGTTCAATAAAATAGAATTTAGAACTATTTTGTTCACTGTGGGCATGAGAATCCAAAATATAATACTCAAGGGATGCCTACTAGTTCATCTGTAAATATGAGTGTTTGAAGAAGGGGAAGCTCCTTAACAATGATCATATGAAACTGATGAGAAAGATCCTGTTAAGAATTACAGAGCTCATACTCTGTAATGAGTGTTATGTAGAACAACACTATTACATATAATAGTATGCCATTAGCATCTGCAAGGTAAATAATAGACACATGGTTTTATGTTGAGTTTCATTTTTTTTCTTGCTAAAATTATGATGTTATACTTTAACTTATGGAGTAAAAGAGCCTCTTTTTATTCCAGTAGGTTTCTCCATCTTACTTGAAAGTGCATCTGGGTCCTTTGCTAACTGTCTTCTTCCTATCCCTTTTCTACTCTTGTGATGAAAGAGACATTGTCTTCTTCTTCCATCAAGCAGCAACATGGCCCCTGCATAAATTTTGTAGAACTGCACCATGTAACTACTCTGAACAACCCTGACCATAGGGACCATTTTCCTACATATCTTTTGGTCTGAATAATATTAATTACTTTCTAGATGTCATTTAAAAAATGTATGAACAGTCTGGAAATTTCTGTAAAATTATTTTTGGCTTTGAGTTTGTTATGATTTAGAGATTACATGTCCTCCAAAAGCTCATGGGTGAGACAATGCAAGAAGGATTAGGGGAGAAGTGATTGGGTGAGGGGAGCCTTAACCCAATCAGTGAATTAGTTTCATGATTAACTGAGCAGAGGTTGAAGGCAGGCAGGTAGGGTATGGCTGGAGAAGGTGTACATATATTTTGTGCTTGTATTTTGTATCTGATAAGTGGAGTCTCTCTTTCTGCTCTCTGATCATCATGTGAGCTGCTCCCCTCCACCACACTCTTTGATAATGTTCTCCCTCACATCAAGCCTAAAAGAATGGAGCTGAGACCTCTGAACCAGTGAACTCCTGAATAAACTTTTCTTCTAAAGTTGTTCATATCAGGTCTTTTCAGTGAAAAAGCTGACTAAATCAGTTTTGTTGGAATTGTCTCTCATCATCAATAGATAAAATTACAAAGAAGTATCATATGCCTCAGAAAATTTTATACAAAATGGCAAACAGATAGATGTGACATATATTGGTGTGTTAAAGGCATGCAGATCCTGGAACCAGGAGGCAGGCTGTATTTTTGGTTGTATATCTGGCTTTATCCAGTAAGACTTGTACACTCTGGCTAACAGAAAGATAGTCGACAATATTAATTTCTTATTTTAAAATCAGTGTCAAAGGAGCTTTTCAGTGCAAAATGTCTAAAAAGAGAAGAAGACTAGAAAGTAAAGGGCACATTAACTGGAACCTGAAGTGACAGTGCTGTGTTACATTGCAGAGATTCTACAATATGTCAAAGGGTTGGTGATTCAATTGTCTGAATGCATGATTTGGTGAGTCAGTTTAGGCCAGAGCAAACTGGACCTGTCATTGAATTCACAATGGATAAAAATGGACCTATTCAATCTGCCTCTCAATGCCCAAATTCTTCCTAGTTGTAAATTAGAGCTTTTCGACAATGCATTAACTCGTTCAGGTCAATGGGGTACTATGTCAGCTCAGTGCTCACAATTGCCCATGACCAATTCTGCACTCTTCCCAGCAGGAGGGATGCAGTGTCATTTTGTGCTCTCTTCTTTAGGATAATATCAGGCCTGAAAGTGAAGGAACAAAAGAAGTTGCTGCTTTCCTTCCACCCACCCCACATAGCCATAATCACATCCCTCCTTCCTCTTGGTCAGACTGTGAGCCTAACAGAAAATGAGCCTGAGGGTGTGTGCTTATGCGTAGACTTGAATAAAATAAAAAAATTTGCTGCTGTTCAACTCTGTCTTCAAGTTGAAGAAAGAGGGCATATGGATAGCAAGAGAGAGCTGGAGAGAATCTGCTGCATCCCTATGAAAATCATCACAATATGGTTTCTCTTCCTAGGATCAGTGTTTTAAAGCAGATTCTCTGACAGCATTTTATTCCATTCTATGCTCAGTCATTACTATTTAGCAATGCTTGCTTTTTTTTTTTTTTTTTTTTTTGGTGGTACTGGAATTTAACCAAGGACCTTATGCGTGTGAGGCAAACACTCTACCAACTGAGCTACCTATCCAGCCCTGCAATGCTTGCTTTTTAACATGTATCTGAACATACCTAGTTTTGACTTGGTATGTTACATACACCTTGATGTATGATATTCCCTGTACTTGGAACTGAGTCATTCTTCACCCAACAAATTTCAACTCATCTGTCATTTATCCACTCTCATATCACTTCCCTGTGGGGGCATTCCCTGAAAGAGTGAGCTATATTAACTCTTTATTCATTAATTTCTTTTTTTCTTCATGCAGTCACTCATTTACTTTTTATAGCAACATTTTTTGTAGCACTTATCACATTTTGTAGTGATTCATCACTTTGTTAGGTTTTTTGAATGTTCCTCTCCTCCACTAGGCTTTGAGCCTCAAGTTTGCTGTGATCACATCTGATCACTTGAATACTATGTATGCCAAACCTACTTGAATTCCAGCACATACTAATTGCTCAATACAGAGACATGCTATCCTGTCCTATGCTTAGAGTCTCTATTACGACCTGTAGAAACTGGGAAAATGCCAGTGATTCAATAGCATCATGGAAGAATTAAGATATCTGTAATTTAGATCAGAAAAGTAAATTTCAATAAGATTTACTATACTTCACTTCTCCGTCATTTTTCTGTAGTCATAGTATTCTCCTAGGTCAACCTATCAGTCTCTAGATAGCAGTGTACCTGTTATTAGAGGAAGTCTGCAAATGTGACCCACCCTCTCAAATTCAAAGTCATTTGTCCTCTGAAGCCTTCTTCAGTTATTTCCATGGTTCCTTTATAAGGGCTAAACAAATTATGAAAGTGCTTCTCTTTCATTATAAAACTAAATAATAAACGTATTATTTTGTTTGAAATGTACACATTTTAGACTGTAAACAATTTCACTTTCAAATATTGATATTTGTGATAATTTTATAATATACTATAATAATATAAAAATACTTTATACCTTCAGTATAAGTGACTAAGAGACTGTCTGGGCTTTTCTTTTTCTTTAAAGTTTATTCATGATTCTACTTATTATTATTGGTTAGGATAATTCCCTATCTCTTTCTCCCAGAGGAAACACAAGGTGTAGGAATTAATAGCAATCTCAGGGATATTCTACTCTGCCACAGCAGACAGGATTAACTCCTACCCCAGTGCTCCTATTCTGTCTTTTTTCTCTTGTCCTGAGGGGCTGGAGTTGTACCCATCCTACTCTTAAACTCTAAGTGTTTCAGGATATCACCTGTCAGCAGTTCTTCCTCCTTCTGTTCTTGGAAACATTCTTCCTACTGGTATTGGCATGGATGGGATCTTCAAAGCAGAAGGAGAAAATTCCCCTGGAGGTAAAAGTCTTTAAGACCCTCAGAGTTGCTTTGCTCTTTGAAATGTGTATTTCCAACTTTCCAAAGAATTGCAATAATATCCTGTTGGCACCAAGGCGAGGGGCCTCGATCTTACTCAGGCCACAGCATGGTCCACACTGATAAAGAGTTTGTGTTCCAAATCAAGGCACCTACTTTCTTCTAACAAATATTTATTATCAACTGTCTTGCTGTACATTCTTATAGATACTCTTGTTTGCTGTGGATTAGGCAATAAACAATAACTAACCCCCCAAAATAAAAAAACAAAAAGAAAACACAACAACAATAGCAAAAACCCTGTTTCTGAGTCACCCAGAATTTGGGCAACCACTTGTTTCTGTTCTTTGCTCAGAAATCTTAAAGTTGATTTGTTAAGGAGTGCTAGTATGATGTCAAAAATGTTTTCACATTTCTTTGGGGGAAGTCTAGTGGGTTTTTATGTAAACAATCCTTTTCTAACTCTTGGAAACAAGGTCTTAGGTGGCTTACGTAATATTCTGGAGCTAATACAATGACCTGAGTATTGTTATTCTAGACAGTGCTGCATCCATTTCACAACCAAGAAACTTGGAAAAATTAAGGGGCTTTACCAAGTACACATGTCAGCAGAGATGCCAGCTCTGATCCTTAGGTCATCAAACATCAGTCCATGTTGGGTGTTGAAGCCAGAGATGAGTAAAGTGGTCAAGCAATAAATGCCTTCCGTCACATTGCTCACAATCTAAAGGGAGAGAGAAGCAAGCAAGCAGATCCAGACTACCATGTGCAGGTGAGAAATACACAATGTCACATAGGAATTGAGAGTACCAAGTGCCTGCTTGTCACAATGGCTTAAGAACTTCCTGAGGAGGGGGCTTTTGAGCATTACCTTGAAAAATTTTGAGAATTTTACCATGTAGCCAGAGGAGGAGCTGGCAGAGGTAGAGTGACACACAGTCTGTGTAAGTATGAGGGAGTATCTTGCAAATGGAAACTACAAATGGCTCAGTACTACTTGAGTGACAAATATAAATGGCAGCATAGTGGGAATGAGGGTTGGAGATATAACCCTAGACAATAGGGCCCAATTAGCGATGGCCCTTCATACTTGCTTCGGAGTTTCAATTTTAATCCTGAGAAATAGAGAACTACACATATGCAGAAAGAATATATGCTCCCACTTGCTTTGGGAAGATTCCTGAGGGGCCCTGCTGAAACTTGATGGAAGGGAGAGCAAGAATGGAGACAACAAAAACCATTAGCAAGGAATTATATGTTAGAAAACTGCACAGCAGGATAAGACATCCATAAGTTGCATCTTATACATAGATTCATTTTGGTTTTTATTCTGGAAAAATGCAAGGTGTGCGCAACATCTTCAGAGAGCTGCTCAGATCACTCTTGTCTCTTCCATAGTGTGTGTATCTAAAAGACACTTGCCCTCTAGCTTTTAATTGGGCTTAGAGTATATCAGAGAGATTGAAAAGGAAGGGCCTGCCACCATGCAGCATCACTGTGAAGTGGCTGTGGGTACCACATTCGAATATTGGTGCTTATTCTAATATCATTTTATAATAATGTAAAAATATTTCCTATAACCGATATCAGTGACTGAGAGATTGTCAGGATTTTACTCTTTATCACCTTTTTCATATCTCCTGCAGAGTCCTCCACTTTTCCTTGCAGTTTTCCTACATGAACCTACAGCTTTTAAGCAGTCCTCTTATTAATCTTTACTCAAATAATCCAAAATTAAGTGTGCTGTCTGTTACCTGCCAGGAATCTGTTACTGAGGATATAAATCTGTGTACCCTTTCTACAGAAAAGTTTGACCATAGCACTAAAAATGTGGACCCCAAAAACTCTCAATTAAGATTTTTACTCAATAGATATAATCTCTAATGCATGTGTAGAAAATGTTTATTTTTAATATATTTTAATGATAACAAAACAGGAAAAATTTATTCCTATAGAAAATGACTTGACAAATTTTCAGATAAAGTTCAAGTTGCAAATTTCCAGGAAAATTTTGGAATAAAGTTTTAAGTTGCAATATAATATTATCTTATTTGCATAATATATGTATGTGGGTTGGTAATGACAGGGGTTCAAGTGCTTATCACTGACCCACCTCCCCAACACTTTTTATTTTTTATTTTGAGATAGGGTCTTACCTTGAGCATAAAAATATATTTAATAGAGATTAAAAACATTAACAGTGTTCACAATTGTAGAATGGTTCCGGAGGCAGATGGTGGGTTAGAGATAGATCCTTACTTTGTCATATTGCATTTTTAAACCTGTTTTATTATATAATCTTTAATAAAAATTACTTGTAATTTAAAAAAATATGTTTAAAGTGAGAATATTGCACTTATTTCACAGGATTCTTGTATAACTATATATTCTTGTATAACTAAAGCCATAATGTATCTTATGTAGATATTAGGTAACAAATCTCTAGGAAGAGGACCTGACCTATAAATAGGGCAATGGAGAAGAAGAAGAATGGTGTTTAGAGTGCAGCAGGAGTTGAAATTGTTAGAGATGGGGACTATTCAGGTAGCATGACCAGGGCTTACTTGGCATAAGGGGAAGAAACTATTAAAGAATGACTGTGAGTCACTATGCACTTGATGGGTCTATTCACTAAAGCTAAAATGCAACAAGAGACAAAGATGTGGGAAGGGGATAATGAGTTTGATTTTGAATTCATGGATTTGTTGGTGCTCATTATATCCAGTTGGAGGGGTCTAGAAAGCATTTGCATGAGAAGAAGGCTAATGATCTCATGACAAGTGGACCTGTCTTTACAAATATCATTGTCTGAGATGGGATTGAGGGGAATAAAAGTTAAAAATCAATTGATAGTTTCAAGAACCTTTTTTAGAATCCCTACATCTACCTTAAAATTTTGGTTTCCTTTTATTATTTCTGTTTTTGTTATGATTCGGATCTGGAATGTCCCTCAAAAGTTCATGTGTTGAAGGCTTAGCTCCCAATGTAGCAATGTTCAGAGGTGGGGCTTTTGTAAGGGATGTATTAGGAAAACTTTGACCTCATCAGTGGATTAATCCATTGATAGCTGAATGGACACTGGGAGGTGGTGGAAACCCAAGTTGTGGCCTCCTTGGCGGATATAGATCACTGGGGACATGTCCTGGAAGAGCATTTCTTGTTCTGGGCCCCTTACTCTCTTTCTCTGCTTCCTAGCTGCCTTAAACTGAGCAGGTTTCTTCTGCCACACCCTTCTGCCATGCTATTTCAAGCCCAAAGCTGAAACCTCTGAAACCATAAGTCACAATAAATCTTTCTTCCATTTCTTTATGTCAGGTATTTTGGACACAGTGATACAAAGGTAATACACTATTCTTTTTTCAGTCCTTTGAGTGAGTGTCATTCCTTCTAGAATTTAGCCATTTAATCTGCACCAACAATCAAGCAATCTAAGATACTAACATGTACTATACTACTAATGGAACTGAATTTTTTCTTGCTTTCTTCTTGTTGTATAATGAATTTTTTTGTCCTGGGAAGATTTTCATTATTTTCTATTGCTATATATTTGATTAATATATTAATATTTATAATTTATACTTTTCTTGTCATATCTTCTCTTGGGAATAATGAATGCTTTTAATGTAAGGAATCATTTTATATCCATCTAATTAGAAATAGAGGCAATTTGCATGAAAAACAATAATACCAACTGTGTTTGACAGAAAGATTCCCAAAGCAGACAGCAGAAATACATACAGTATAGCCACTTCCCATATCTCCATACAGTTATTAATACTTCATTCATTAAAACATCAGGAATATCTTTACATGTAAGTTATGCTGAAGGAAAAAAAAAGGAGAAAATTTATTAAATTATTTACTAAGCCTTTCCAGATTAAAAAAAAGTAAATGGATTATGGATCAGTAATGTCAAGATATTCTCCATAGCTTGTCTTTATCAGAATGAGGAATCTTTTTATTAAGGCAGCCAAGAAAGGGTAGATTTATGGATTGAAGGGAGTATGTTTAATATGTCCATATCCATCTAGATTGACAGTTCTCACAGACATGAATTTCCCCAGAGAGACAGTGTTACTGGTGTCAGTGGATGGCATCATTTACTTCAATGTTCCATTATTAAATTGATAACAAGATAATTCCTCTGCTTCTCAGAGACATGACAGGGTGTACAATGGTTAACACTCTTATTGCATGGGATTTGATGTTCTAGGTAGCTTTTAATAAGAAGTATATTTGTATTTCAATATTGAAAAAAAATTGAAGTGAAAACAACATAGTAAAATAAAATCAAACTCAAGTGTTCCAGGCAATACAATATGTCTATTTAAAGAATATCCTACTCACTATGAGTAACTTTGTCTAATAGAAATGTATTTATTATATTTCCTTCAATCATTCAGCTAACAATTCTGCTGTCCAAAGGTATATATTGTAGTATGTTATTTGTTGAAATTGAAATTTACATATTTGATTTAGCATATGAATACAAGAAATACACTACAACTTTAGAAAATTATAGAGGCAAAGGAACTAAATAATATTTGTTGAGTACTTTATGTTGATCACATAAAAAGAGAGATATAGAAGTAGCAATGGAGATAATGGAGATAGGCTTAGAGGTAACAATAGAGAGAGAGATACAAATAGACAAATAATTAGAAATCCTTTAGAAACTCAACATTTCAGTAAGACAGCTATCACCAAACCATGTTACAGATGAGGAGGGGACAGACTCAGAGAGTTATAGTAACTTACTTAAGAGGCCATGAAACTTACCCGGGGTCCCCAGCTCTTTCACCACATTATATCACTTCTTTTGTAGAATTTAGGAAAGCATGTTTCTTAGCAGTAGTGAAACAGTAAGCAAACAAAAGAGACAGTAGTCACTATACCTTGCTTTCACTCTTTCCATATACTTCTTAGAAAACTAATTATGGGGTTGGGGTTGTAGCTAAGTGGTAGAGCGCTTGCCTACCATGTATGAGGCAATGGGCTCTATCCTCAGCACCACATAAAAGTAAATTAACAAAATAAATTGTGTCCATTTACAACTAAAGAAATTTTAAAAATAAAATTAATTAATATTTGTGTATATAATATTACATTTGAGAATGAATGTTGAGAACTAATGGTTAAAAAGAAATCCTTTAGTTTAGAGATAAAACCAGAGCTGAACTCATGGGGGCTTGAGGAGAACCTTGGAGTTTGGGTAATTACAGAGGGAATAGATTAATCCTGTCAGCCCACTTATGAGTGAAGCCATATGTTGCCATTTATTTAAAATTTTGTTGTGTTTGCAAATAGCTTTATAGGTCATGGATCCCTAATGATTTCCAGTTAGAATTTTTTTTCTATCTCACTAAATATAATGTGAAGCTTTCTTCCACGGGCAATGCCAGCTGCTGACGACCACAGAAGTGCTTCAAGAGAAGTGATATGTCAGGAGCTTCAAAGAGTTCTAGGGCCTGTTTCTGTTGGAATGTTGCTGCTATATACCTTGGAGCCAAAACAAAATAGCATTTTCAAAGTTACAAATGAGGGCAATCCAAACATTTGATATATAATTGATAAAGGAAAATTGGAGAGTAAAGCATTTCCTCAGTCATTGATTCTGGAAGAATTTGTCCCATGCAGTCACTGAATGCATTTTCTTCACCTATCCTAAATTATTGCTCTACGTGAACTATTGACAAGACAAGTTTCTGCACCACATTGCATGAATGAAAAGCTCACTCATGTGAATTTATTACTTGTAGGTAAATGGAATGACACAGTGTGAAGTCTTTTCAGGGCTGTAAGGAATTAGATTGCCCTCTTTGTAAAGGAACCTATGCGAGACTTGTTTTTCTTGACAAAAAAAAGTGGTTTAATACCAAATTCTGACAAAATAAGAACAGAAAATCAATGGTTCTTATGCATCAGATTATTGAATTGCTCTTGCTTATCATTTCTTTCATCTTTTTGATAGTAAGACATGTGCTATTGAATAATTGCCATACCTACTATTTAGGAGTATAGCTAATATGTATAAGATACCATGTATAGGAAAACAAAGCATATATAAGAAAGAGTCCTCCTCAACAAAGAAGTGTAAAGTTGTACAGATAGTACAAACATAAAATTAACTATTAGTAAAAATGTCATTATTTTATAAAAACCATACCTATCCAAGCAGTAGTGTCACAGGGTAAACACACACATTCACTTTCAAAATTATTTAGGATGAATAGATCAGAAGAAGCTGATTCTTCAAACCAGACTAAAAGCAAAGCCAGCCAAAGGACATCCTGCTCACTGCTAGGAAGCTCAGTAAGACATAGGCTGCAAACTAAAATATTTGCACTTAGACATGACTCTTGAAATTTCACAGTTACAGGCAGTTCAATGGAAAACATAAGCACTTCCACAAATAAGTAAGAAGTAAGTAAGAAGTGGAGTGGAGCAGAGTAATTCCATATGACAAGAATGAACTCTATTAAGGCTATGTTATTTTTTAGCAGTTGAGCATCTTGTACTGATAGTTTAAAAGCCAAGTTAATTTTCCACTTTGATTCTTTTCTGATGCATATCCGAAAAAATGGTACCATGAAACCAACAGCAGGCCAAACCTGTACAAGTCCTTTAATATTTTGAAATGTAGTGACTAATTTGCTTTGAATTAATATTTCACTGGGATTTCTTTAAGACCAAAGTCTAAGATAGGTATAATATCCCATCTAATGAGCTTAAGGGCATCTACAACTGTTTTGCTACTAATGTATTTTGATACAGTGAATCTTTTAACAGAATTACTTATCTAGTCAATCAAGGATGGTAACTAACTAGACTAATTATAAAAAATTACAATTGAAAAAAAAGCATTAGCTTAGGACAAATATTTAAGGTTAAATTTTCATAGTAATATTTTCCCTTCCAACTTTATTTTAATTTGTATTTTTGTTTTGTTTTGTTCTTCTTTGTTTTGGTTTTTGTTTTATTTCTTTTTGCTGAGTAATTAGAACTTCTTGGTGGCTATTTGAGAGTGGGGTTAATGGGGTAGTTGGTTGAGGGAAAAGTATATATATATATATATATATATATTACTTATGTATAATTTGGGATATGTTATGCATTTAGCAATTGCAGTCAGTCTCTCTGGGCTGCCTGACTAGTATCTAATGAGAAATAATAGCTCAAGTTATTAAAATATATTTCCAGAAAAGAGGAGAAGAAATTGCTTAATCTGATTTAAGAGCCATGACTAAGAATACCACCAGTGGGCAAAGAAAAGGAAAAGAATCTCTTGACAGTACCTACCTACTATATTGTAAATTTGCTCTAAATAAACAGCAAAAATCCCCCATCACTTTCAAAGCATACGAAGACAATATTTAGTGCTATCCTGTAGTGATGGTGCTTTACTAGGAAGCCGATGAATTGGGTCATACAAGGTCTGCTATATTTGTATCTCCTTTTCTTCCTCTCTGTCCCTCATTGAACATTTGTCTCAAGAAAGAACAGCATGGTGCCTGAAGAAGCTTCCACTCAGTCTTTACAATCTGCATGCATTCTTTTGTTTGGTAAAAATGTAAGAGGTTTTTGTTTTGCTTTTATACTTTTTTTCCCCCCAGTGCAAGGCCAGGGATCATCTGCCCTTTGTTCTTGGTCATTGAAAAATGACGCATATGGTAAACCTGCTCACTGAATAGGCATTCACCATCATGCATGTGAAAATGCATTAGAAGAATTTATGGGACATGAGGGGACATAGGCTGCATCTGAGACTAAATCCTTATCATAGGCTTTATGGTATTTTACCAGGATGACTTGTTTGGGTGGGTAGGGAAAGGACACCTTTCTGCTCTTTCAGTGAATGATAGACCAACTGGAGGTGATTGTAAATAATTCAAAAGGTTCTGAACTAGAATCTGCCTCTTAAATAAAATTAGAATTATTATTCTCAATATTGTGTTTACCTTGTTACAATTAATTTTAAAAAACAGTGCTATAGTTTTATAATCATGTTTGAAAATATATAACAATTATCAAAACAGTATTTAATTTCCATCTTATATTCCTTTCCAACTCTTATTTTGTTTACCTTTACACAATAATTCTTAAGACAAATACATAATTATAAATTTATTTTTAAGCAAATCTTCAAGTTGGCAAATCTTAGATAGTAGGAAAAATGCATATTTTACTCTTAATTTAGAGAACTACACATCCCAGCCATACAATTACTTCATTTTGAGAGGCTACTTTTCTGGTATTTGTTTTGAAAGTTGCAAAGATCATGTAATTATATGTGGGAGAAGGGAGAGAAAAGATTATAAAAGATACCTCATTGTTCCTTAAAAATAGCATTGATGTCAACATCTGGGTATAACAGCATCAAGCTGGGAAGTATGAATGGTAAGAAAAGGATTGTTTAAGAGACCAAAGTGCTTTTTTTATTTTTGGGCTCTCAATATATCCTTGTGAAAAAGAATCAAGTTTTAAACTCTGAGAAGGTCTTTTCGGGTCCCTTTTTAATGAAACCTGAAAATGCATTGGTGATAGTTCAACACATCATATTAGAAAAATTGTGTGAAATGATTAATTAGACTAAATAAATTTGAGGATCATTTTCCCTCAGGAGGTTTAATGAAGTGTATAACTTTTACAAGTATAGTAAATATTAGTGTATATGTAATGTTTCAGAAATATATACATACACATAAAATTATGAATTGAATACTATTTCTTTATTTTAATTAGATAACATTGCTTTCCGAATATCTTGATTTAACAGGTAATGTGAATTTAACAGAGATTTCTTATACACTGTGTTTTATTTTTATAGTATGCAAATAAGGAACAAATGCCAACACATTCATTATGCTGTAAAAGTTTATACCAGAAAGATTCCAATCACTTTGATAAAGGTCCTGTCATTATTTCTATTGTAAATCACTTTGCCAAGAAACATTTTGAACCAAAATTTGTAATAAATGAAACCCTAAGATGATTACAACATGTAGGTGATATCTTTATGTTTGCTTGATTCCTTTTTTTTCTTTCTTTCTTTTTTTTTTTTTTTTTTTTAGTGGTATTGAGGATCAAACCTAGGGTTGCTCTACCACCAAGTTACAACCCCAGTCCTTTTTATTTTTTGAGACAGTGTCTTGCTGAATTGCTGAGGCTGGTCTCCCAACTTCCTTCCTCTGCTTCAGCCTCCTGAATTGCTGGGATTGCATTTGCTACATGATAAAACATAGGTTTTATTATCTTAGTATTGTTAATCTTTACTCTGAAAAGAGAATTATGGTAGGAAGGGTTTTTGTTTGTTTGTTTGTTTTTTGATTTGTCTTCCTATTGCTGTTTAACAAAGGCCCCATTGTTAGCAGGATTAACAACTCAAATGGAAGGTGAGAGTGAGTCTATAAAACAGAAATACCTCCTTGTACAGGAAGTCTGATAGAGGTGAGGGAAATTATGGTGGAGCTCAGAGATGATGAAGAGAGAGGAAGGAGAGCAGAAAAAAGTGAAGATGTTTCATTTGTTCAGGAGGAGTGCAAGGATCATTGATTTTTGTCATCCACATGGTTTTACTCAGCTCCTTCTCTGTGCCTAGCTTGGGATGGGCACTGAAGATATGATGCTGAAGGAGATGATTTCATGGGTAGAGAGGCAATGAACAAGTACCTGTAGAAGTGCAGGAGCAGTGGAAATCCTGTCTCATACAGACCCTGAGTGGGAAAAGAAGCTTTAGGTTTGTGGTATAGAATGTGTGACTTTTATTCTTCTCAGGTAAAGGGAATAACTCCTAATTTAAAACCCACTATTTGTGCTTTCCTTGCCCAACATTGCAAAGGGTCCCAGCTTAGTATTCTATTCTTAAAGCAACATCTCTTTGCAATAGTGTCTCCCTATGGGTCTTTCCATATCAGGGAGGCTCAAATATCTGGGGTAATTATTCTTAAAAATTTTGTAGACAAAGAAACAATTTAATAAAAGTGTGTTTTAGATCTAATTGGATTTCCTCACAGTTTAACTTAGTCTAAAATAGCTTTAAATTATCTATAAAATATGCATCTACCTACAAAATTCTCTTCTGCAGATCGACACTATTTTAAACTGCATTAATTTACAAATATAATATGCTTACAATGTGACACTACAGAAGAATCAATAGAAGATATAAAGATGACCGTGTGTCATGGTGCATTTTGTAATCCCAGCTGCTCAGGAGGCTGAGGCAGAAGGATTGCAGGTTCAAAGGCAGCCTCAACAACATAGTGAGGCTGTAAGCTACCTAGTGAGACCCTGTGTCAAAATAAAAATTAAAAAGGGCTGAGGATGTGGCTCAGTGGTTAAGTGCCCTTGGGTTCAAGTCCCAGTACTAAAACAAAAGAACATAGAACATAAAAAGATGATTAAAAATGATTCTTTCTGTTCTTTATAATGACATATATTTAAGTATTATCTATGGATGTTTAAACCAAAGTATTCTGTTATTTCAAAATGTAGAAAAAGGCAAACCTAAATATGACAGTTATCTTAGTTAGAAAAATAATAACTGAATTTCATTGAAAAGTCATTTGTATATAATGCAATTCTCAAAACAATCTCTATGAAATAAGTACAACTAACCAAATTATTCCCATTTTATAGATCAGGTAGCTTACTCAGGAAGACATTTAAATGGTATGTCAGTATTCAGATATTCATTTAAGACATATTTATAGGGCATCTGCTGCATATTAGCATGCTTTCTTACTCTAGTGGTGCTTCTATCCCAACTGCAGAGAGAGAGAAAGACAATAAATACAAATACATTTAATAAGGAAGTGACATAATAGAAAATGCCATGAAAAGGAAAATACAGCTTGAATATGGCACTGTTTTCTTCTTCTTCTTTTCCTTCTTTTTCTGGAGGTTGAATCCAGGGGCAATTTACCACTGAGCCACATCAACCTCCAGTCCTTTTATCTTATTTTGAGATAGGGCCTCACTAAGGTGCCAAACTAGCAATCCTCCTGCCTTAGCCTCCCAAGTTGCTGGGATTACAGGTGAGCACCACTGCATCCAGCCTCTCTGTTCTTAAAAGACCAGCCCACAAGAGAAACTAGTCAACCAGAATCTAACTGGCTGGAGATTGTTATCAGAGACTAATGTATATGGGGGGAAGGAAATGCCCAATTTCAGCCCATACTAGTTGTCCCTGTGGAGGGAAGGGAAACACCTAACTCCAGACCAGTCTAGTCATCCTGTCTCACCTGAGCTAAGAGAAAGAAAGTCAGAAACCCCTGCAGTTCAGGGACTGGGATCACCAAGAAAATGAGACCTCATCACAGGACTGAAACTGCTTCTCCTTCCCCACACCTCACCATCACATTACTAAAGGTCTGTTTACAGAAGTTCCTTTTATGCAGTACATCATGTCTGGCTATCAGTTAAAAAAATACAATTTAAAGAAATAAAGTACATATCAGACATGGCAAAAATGTTGAAATTATCAGACTGGAATTTAAAACAACTATGATTAATGCTAAGGACTCTATTGGATAAAGTAGCATTCAGGAAGAGATAGTCAATATAAGAAGAGGGACAATCTTAAGGAAAAACAGAAAAGAAAACTCAGAGCAGACATGAAGAATGCCTTGAAGAGCTTATTAGTATGTGGTCACAATTGAGAAAAGAATGTCTGAGATTTTGGCTATATCAACAGAGACTTTGAAAATAGAAAAGCAAAAAGAACAATTTAAAAACAAAACAGAATAGACTATCCAAGGACTGTGGGACAACTACAGTGTAAATGTGCACACTGGGAATAGCAGAAAGAGAAAGGAAGGAAGATAATAGTTATTTGAAACAATAGTGACTGAAACTTTTGCAAAATTAATATTATATACCAAACCACAGACCCAGAAATCTCAGAGACTATGAAGCAGAATAAATGCTTCAAGAAACTACACACAGGCATATAATTTAAAAATAAAAAAAATCAAAGATTAAGAAATCATAAAAGAAGCCAGAAGGAAAACACCCTACCTGTAGAGAAACAATGATGAGTTACATCCAACTTCTAAAAAATATAAGTAAGAAGAGGGTGGAACAAAATAACTTATATTGAGAGAACAACAACAAAAAACCCCACCAGTGTCGAGTTCTTCATAAATTATCTTTCAAAAGTGGAGAAAAAAAACTTTGTCAGATAAATATTGAGAGAATTTGCATTAAAGAAGAAGAATAACTGAAGGTAAAATAAGACCTTTTAATTTTCTTATTTTCAGTTGTTTGAATAATGACATTTTGTTCAAAATAATCACAACAATGTATTTGATTGGGCTTATTATATGTATGTGTATATTGTGTATATGTATATATATGCCAATATATAAAGGAAACAATAGCAACAATATAATGGACAGGAGGGAGAATTAGAATTATTTTGTTATTATATAGAATTCACAATACCCATGAAGTGATTTAATATTATTTGACAGTGGACTTGGATTAATTGTAAATGTATATTGCAAATTCTAGGGAAACTCTGAAAATAAACAAAACAGAAAATAACACAGTTGATCATGTTAAGAAAGTAAAGAAAATGAAATCATAAAATTCTCAGTTAAAATCACAAAAAGCAGGGGAAAAAAAGTAGAAGCCAAAAGTAGCACAAAGAACAAGGACAAGAAATAGAAAACAGAAACACATATGGTTGACATTTACCAGCTCTATCATTAATCACTTTGAACATCAAGGATTTAAATGCACCAATTTAAAGATGGAGATTAGCAGAGTGAATCAAAAAGCAAGTGTTGCTTTGTGTTGCATAGCATGTTAGCTATGTGTTGCATACTAGAAACCACTTTCAATGTAAAAACACTCCTAGGTTAAAAATAAATGAATAGACAAAAAATATACCTTGCTAATACTAAAGAAAACAAAAGAACTGCATTAATTTCAGACCTTCCAGACATCAAGACAAAGAAAGTTATCAGATACGGAAAAAGACATTGCATAAGAAAGGAGTCGATTCTCCAAGAATTGATTGTAGCAATCCTTGATATGTATGCAACTAACAACAGAACATCAAACTGTGGAGCAAAAACCAGTAGAACTACAGAGAGAAATAGACAAATCCACCTTCATAGTTGGAGACTTTCAACACTTGTCTATTGGAAATGGACAGATTAAGCAGGAAAAAATCAGTGAGAACATAGTTGAAACTCAACTTCACCATCAATCAGCTGGATATAATTTGACATCATCAGACTACTTTATCCAACAACAACAGAATACACATTCTTTTCAAGTACACATGGAACATTTACCAAATTAGAACATATTCTTAGCTATAAAATACACATTACAATTTAAAAAACTAAAAATTATAGAGCATCTTCTATCAGACCACAATGGAAATAAACTAGATAGCAGTAACAGAATCATAACTGGAAAACCCAAGATACTTTAATGGAGATTAAAGAACACATCTCTAAGTAAGACACAGGTTAAAAAAGAACTCTCAGAAGAAATTAGATAATATTTTAAACTAAATGAAAATAAAAAACAACTTATCAAAATTTGTGGGATATAGTAAAAGCAGTGTCTAGAGGGAAACTTATAGCATTGCATGTATATATTAGAAAAGAAAAAAATTAATAATCTACATTTATACCATAGGAAATTAGAAAAAGAAAATTTAAGGAGTAGGAGAAGAAATCAGCAATTATTATGGCAGATGTCAGGGACAGGAAAGTGGAAATCAATAGAGAAAATCAGAAAAACTAAAACCAGTTCTTGAAGAGATTAATAAAATTAATAAGCCTCTAATAAGAAAAAAGAGAGGACCAAAATTAGTAATAATAGAATTCAAAGACTGCACACCACTACAGAGCCCACAAACATCAAAATGGCAATAAGAGAATACTTTGAAGAACTGTGTGGCTACAAATTTGATAACCTGCCTGCAGTGAACCAATTTTTTGAAAGCAAAAATTCACCTACAAATAAATAAACAATATTAATAGACCTATATCTAGTAAAGAAACTGAATGAATAATTAATATCCATTCAAAAGAGAGACAACTAGGACCTGAGGGGATCTGTGGTGAATTCAACTGAACTTTTAAGGAAGAACTTATATTAATTCTCTATAATCTCTTCTAGAGGATAGAGGCAATAGGGAATATTTTCTAACTCATGCTATGGGGTCAGTATTGCCTTAACATCAAACCAGTCAATAACATTACCACTATTCATGGTAATTTCATATCTACACTGTTGATTGCAGCAAGTACCATAGTCTTCATAGGGGTGAACTAGAGGGTTAAAAAATAATAATAGTCCATCTTTATTTTGCAGACATTTATCATGTGCACACAAAGTGATAGACAATGCTGAGCCAACTGTAAGAAACCAAAGACATTGTAAGAAACTACAAACCAATGCCATGTTAACATAATCATTGAAATTCTCAACAAACAATAAGCAAATTCAGTTTAACAATGTATAGGAAATATTATATACCACAACCAAGTATGATTTAACTGTGTTAGGAAGTAAGCAAACATCTAATCAAAGAAGATATACAGATGGCAAATAAACATGACAAAAGATGGTCTACAGCATATGTCATCAGGGAATGCCAAGGAAAACAACAGTGAGATACCACTAAACACCTATTAAAATGACCACAATTCAGAACAACTGCAATACCAATTTTTGGCAAGGATATGGAGCAAAGAAACTCATTCACTGCCAGTGGAACACAAAGTTGGCTGCTTTGGAAGACAGTATGCTGGTTTCTCACAAAACTACATATATTCTTACCATATGATTCAGCAGTTATATTCCTTGGTGTTTACCCAAAGGAGTTAAGAATTGATGTACACTCGAAATCCTTCACATGGATGTTTGCAGCATCTTTATTTGTAGTTGTCAAAATTTGGAAGTAGAAATATATCCTTTGGAAAGGGAGAGAAAAGGGAAATTGCATGGTAATGGAGGGAGACCCTCACTGTTATACAAAATCACACATAAGAGGTTGTGAGGGGAACAGGGAAGGGGAGGGGAGGGAGGATAGTAAAAGATAGGAAAGGTAGCAGAATACAACAGTTACTAATAGGGCATTATGTAAAAATGTGGATGTGTAACAGATGTGATTCTGCAATCTGTATTTGGGGTAAAAATGGGAGTTCATAACCAACTTGAATCTAATGTATGAAACATGATATGTCAAGAGCTTTGTAATGTTTTGAACAACCAATTAAAAAAAAAGAAAGATATCCTTTGGATAGTGAACTGATAAACTGTAGTGCAGCATAGGATATCTTTTAGTGCTGAAAACAAGTATGCTATGAAGCTCTGAAGTGAATAGGCTGGAAGAGCCTTAAATTCATATTAGTAAGTAGACTGGGTCAATCTGCAAAGGCTACAAGCTATGATTGCCACTACATGGCATTCTTAGAAAGGGAAAAAGATGGAGAAATTTGAAAGATCAGTGGTTGCCAGGGGGTGGGTAAGGGGTACAGTATGAATAGATGAAACCCAGGAGTTTTAGGGAATTGAAAATTTGTTGTGTGATAATATAACAGTGGATGCACATCATACATTTATCTAAACCCATTGAGTAGGCAGAATATAACCTGTGAACTGTGGATGATGATGATTTATCAATGTATGTTCATCAGGTGTAATAATTGTACCCTCTCATGAGGCATGCATGTATAGTGGGTAGGGGCAGGAGATACAAGATATATCTCTGTACCTCCACTTCATTTTAATTTTGCTGTGAATATAAAAGTGTTCCCCCAAAATAAAGCTACATATGTGACAACCTCTAGTACTAGATGTCTACTATTATATATATAGTAGAGTTATGGTCATCTGTGTGTGTTACTATGTATTATCCTTGGTAGTGTCATATATGCAATGTTGACTGCAGCAAGTACTATAGTCTTCATAGGCATGAAGTAGAGAGTTAAAAAATAATACCAACAGGCCATCCTTCCTTCTGTAGACATTGATCACATGTACACAAAGTAATAGGCAATGTTGAACCAAATGATAGGAAACCAAATGTGAACAAAAATTAAGATTCTCCCATTGAGTGGAGTAAGGGAATATATGGAACAAATAAACACCTATCTATGCAAAACACTGTGACAAGAACAGAGTAGAGGGAGATGTACCACACTGGGATACCCAGTGGATTAAAGATTCTGTCTCCAAGATTATTGAGGGTGGTATGAGAGTTAGACCTGGAAGAGTGGATAGGAGACATACTGTAGATATGGTAGGGTGGTACAAGAAGGACCGGCATCGGGTAAAGAATGGAAGCCTTAAAGTACCCATGGCGGGGAAGTATCTGTAGGGGGTTCAGTTTGAAGTGTCAAGATAAGGGGCAGATTGGTGACTTGAGGTCAAATGATGAAGGTCCATCACTGGGCTATCTTTAGTCCTTGTGTTTAGGAGACTGTCTTCTTTCAGGATCTCAGTCACTAAGTCTTACCTCTGATTTATGATTTCCTAGGCATATCCATCTGCCTGTGCTTAAATGCTATTCACATATCTACTGTGAAATGACCCATTGGTTAAGAACGTATGAATAAGGTCAGCCTCTAAGAATCAGCATAACAAATTTGGCATATATTGAATAAAATTCACCATCTTTAAAAGTAAATCCATGTTTTCTGTAAATGTATGATTTAAAAGCACAAAAATAATTATTCAAAGCCAAAGTATTATACTCAGTTAATTCAAGTTTTATTTGTATTTTTATTAGCACACAACTGTGAATAGTTATTTAAAATCTTGAAATACATTTTTCTTCCCTGTCCGTAAAAGGGAGCTAATAATTTCTCTGCTGAGTTGTTCTAAAGATTGGAAAGAATGTGAAATGCTACCTGCAGTGCTTAGCACATGTAAGTTGTGTTCATTCTTACTGCTGTATTTACTGAAAGAAGCATCAGCTAGCTTTTGCTGCATAACAAACCAAAAACAAGTTTAGGAATGAAACAACTATTAATTTAATTCACAGTTATGCAAGTTAACAATTTGCTTAACTGGGCTCAGTCATAAGGATCTTCTGGTCTCAGGTTGTCTTGCTGCACATATAATCAAATCCTAGGCAGGTTGGAACTGGGACTGGATGACTCATCTCTGTGCCACGTGGTCTCCCAGTAGCCTTGGTGCGTTTGTTTGCATGGCTAAGTAGGATTTAAAGAGAATAAGCAGATGAGTCCCAGATCTCTTGAAGCCTTGATTTGGCACTGGCATATATCAATTCTGCCATGTTCTATTGGTTAAAACAACTCACAAAGGCAGGCCAACTCAAGGGTTGGGTAAATAAACTGCTTCTTGGAGACAGTAGCTGGAAAAGGGCTTGGGTAAAGGGAGCAAACTCCACTTTTCAATTTACTACAAGAGGTTTGGGGATGCAGAATCTGCTAGAATCTGTAGTGAAAATTGAAAGGATAGGAAATCAATATGGCATAGTCATGATATAGTAGAGAAGAACTAGGAATCAAAAGATATGAGCTTAATCCCTGCCTCTGCTATTGATTAATTTGACCCTGGTAAAGTAACTTAAATTATCTATGTCTCATTATCCTTAGTAAAAGGGTCTCTAATTCATGGTTATTGTGGGAAATTCTTAGTAAAAGGGTCTCTAATTCATGGTTATTGTGGGAAATAAAGGAGATAATATATATGAAAATGTGTATTCAAGCACAAATATAGCAACAACTATAGTGAGTTATTATTCTTTGATATAAATTAAACTATATATTATATGAGATTCTCAAACCCCTTACCTTGCACTCCTGTCTGTCCTTTCATCTTTGTAATGTAGAAAAAGAATTATATTTGGATATTGAAATTTGTAATAAAAGTGTTCACTCCTTGCAATCCCTTCTCAGCTACCTAATTTAGTACTCCTTTGAGGTTAAGAATTTTTTAAGTCCCAACTATATACAAGGTATGTTACTAGATGTTAGAGGTGTATAGATATAAACCCCCACCCCATCCCAGAACCTAAGTCATCTTTTAAAAAATATGTAAACAAAATTAAATATAACAAATATTTTAACAGAGAAATACAGAGGATACCAAAGGATCTCAGAAAAGAAGTCCTAAAACAGTCAGGGAGCTGGATTCCCTTTCCTTCCTTCTTTCTTTCTTTTCTTTTCTTCTCTCTCTCTTTTTTTTTGCTAATCAATTTCAAATAGAAGATAGCCATAGGTGATTTCAGAATCATTTGTGTCACTTATGTATGTTTGATGTCTTCCCTGATTCACACAGGTAAGCATAATCATCACACTAACCATAGCATAGTTTTTGTTATCACTATGCTATGGTTAGTGTGAGTGTAATTATTCTTGTATCCAGTTTATGTGTGTCTCCTTTATTATACATATGCTCCTACAGTGCAGAAACCATTCCCTATTATTCAGACCAAAGGAATAGATACTTGGTCAAGAGAATGCAGAATGTATATTACATTCCAGAAGCAAAGTCATTCATTGTGGTCAGAGTAAACTTTGCATTGTGGTCTTGCATAGCCTATTAAAGAGACATATTTTATCAGGAAATTGAATTGGAAGCACATTGTGATTAGAGTCTACTTGTCTCTTTAGGAGGATCTGGTAGATTGCATAAATGAATTCAGAGATGGGACCGCCCATAAAGAAGTTTTTTGTAGTAATCAAGATGAGCAATGGTGAAGAGCTAACCTGAGACAGTTGTGGTAGAGAGTCAAAAACATTTGCAAGAGATATTTGGGAAGTAGACTAGAGCCTTACTGCTCCAACTGGCTTGCATGTTAACATCACCTAGAGATTCTTGAAAAACTCTGTTGCAAATTTATTCAGAATCTTTGAGATTATTTTTTAACTATGTAATTTAAATGCTCAATCAAGTTTGAGAACCAATGGACTGGAGAATACTTAGTAAATAATTGGATATGGATGATAAGACAGAGATAAAGATAGGAAATATCCTTCCATTTTTCTCATCTGGAACAAAAAGGTGGTGCTTAGATGTATTTAGGGTAGAACAAATTCAGAGTGGAAAAATTTAAGTTTGTTTTTTGAGAAATTGAATTTAGGAACTAGAAGTTAGTTGGATATGCAGTTCTTGTACTTGGGAGAAAGAAGCAGATCACACAGTTTATGAATTTTCTGCATGTGCTTAGTATTGGAAGTCATTCTGAGTCTGATACATAAGGATTGTGTATAAAGTAAAATGAACGGAGAACCATGTGCAGACCCTGGGGGACATCAACAGGTAAGAGATGAACAGAGGAGGGAAATGGTACAAAAAAAAAAAAAACACAAGAGAATCAGGAAAGTGGTATCTATCTCCAAGGCTCTGGAGGGTTTCGGGAAACTGGAGGTACTTACCAGTCTTAAGAGCTGAAGAGAATTCCAGTAAAGATTCAGGCTGAAAAACATTTAATATATTTGATGAGGTTGCTGGTAACCTTGTGGAGATCAATTCCTAAGCACAGAGAAGACAGAAACAAGATAAATATATATTAAGGAGTGATCAAAAGGGGTGGAAAAATCAGCAGCTCCTGTCATTCCTGGAGGGTCCACAGTGGCTCTTTTTTTCTGTCTTGGAAAACATCTCTGATCTTTTGTAAAAAAAATATGTATATATTGTTTAACTTTGAATATAACTTTTCTGTTAGAAATATTTATATGCACAAGACATTGGTGGGCCCCCAAATAAGCCAAAGATGATAAATTTCAAAATAATTTAACAAGAAAACATGTAAGGATAGTACTCTCATTTATGGCCATTAAATAAACAATGAGCAAATAAAATTTGAAAATCTTGAGTTTCATTTTAAATGTCCTACAGTAATGTGTACCATTCAGGAAAATTGTACCAATCTCACTTTCATTATGTTTGAACTGAGGCATAAAGTACATTTAAAATTTGAATGTTGTACAGTTAATTAATATTTAATAAACATATTTTCTTAGTTTAAATGTCTTTGAAAGTCACATGTCCCTTGCTGTTTTTCATTCTCAATATAATCCCAGTAGTGTTAGGGATGATTTTTTAAAATTGTTTGACAAAACCTAACTCTGCTACTTGTAATTTACAGTTGTTCACCTTTGTCACTTTGCATTTTTTCCCTACTAAAAAATTTAAGTTGTCTTGAAGCTGAATTGTTGACTGGATTTCCAATGTAGTTCACAGCACAGTTACTGAATACCAAAGCAGTGCTGACAACGTGCATTTTGAAACATAGACTTTCAGTCAGCAGGAAGTTGACAAGAGAGTCTGCCCATAACCAACTGGAAGTTGTATGTTGTTTTTCACCTTAATTTCTAATGTCAATCCCCTTGAAATTAAGTTTGAGAAACTCCTTAATAAAATCTCTTTATTTATTCATAATGAAATGAAATTATCAAATTTTTTAAGCCATTAATTTTGATTCTTTAACATAAAATTTTTAAAGAATGACAGTGGAGCCGTATGTTCCTTTTTAACTGCAGAGTAAGCATCCATCTATATTTGTTTAATTAATCTTTTTGTTTAGTAACCTTTGCAGTATTTTTTAGGGAGAAAACATGCAAAATTTTATCTATTATATCTGATGTTTCATGGAAATTAAGTGTTTACACAAGAGTATACATTTCCTTAACTTATGTTTATTAGTCAAAATGAAAATCAAAGCTGGAAAATTCCAATTTAAAAACAGCACCTATGAAGCACAATTTAGTTTAAAAATGGCTTTTCATGAAACAAATCAAATTTTACTAATTTTTCAAAAAGAAGGATGGTAAGATGGATCTCAACTCTAAGATAATCTATTACAACCTACATGGTTATGTTCAACTATATAATCTCTTCCAGTTTTGCAAATCATCTTGTACTTTCATTTTTACTAACTAATCTTGGTTTCCCAAAATATAAATATCTGCCTTTTTGGCCCAGTAATCATATCATAATCTGCAAATTTGCTTTTTCCATTTTCTAAGATGACTATTTATTATTTTAATTTCTCCCTCATAATTCTAAACCTTTGTCCTTAATTCTCTTTAAGTAGCAGACCTTACCTCATACTTTATAAAAAATTTTAAATACCAGAAGAATGATTTCACCTTTCCCACAACAAATCTATAAATCTGACTGTATCTATACCTACTTTTTATTTGTTTGTTTCTTTCTCTCTCCACTCCTCCATCCCACCCTGTTAAATTGGCAACAATGCCTCTGCCTCTCTCAAATGTTCTTCCTCCATTTGTCTCTGTAATCATCACCAAGTGCCTTCTCAATGCTTTCTTACAGGTTATTTTCTATCGCACAAACACATGCTTAAATATGGCCCATTAAAAAACAAACAAGAAACCCTCTCATTATATCTCTCATACCTTCTGCTGCTTCCTCATTTCTCTTTTAGCTGTACCACTAAAACCTTTAGAGAGAGATGTTCATCACATCTCTCTACTTTTTCATATTCTGTTCATTCAACCTAATCAATTCTGACTTTTATCCTGGCTGTCTTGATGGAAATTCTCTTGTTAAGGTTACCAGTGGTTTATTCATTGTCAAAACCAGAGTGGGCTCCTTTACACAAACTCACAGAAGGATTTATGACAGTTGGTTGCTCTTTCTTTTTGGAACACTGCCTTCTCTTGGCAGGAAACCACACTGCCTTGTGGCTACAGGTCAGTCCCTTGCCCTTTGTATTTATCTATCATATTTTCTTTACTTTTGAAATCACCTAGCTACTTGACTTTAAATTCCATTACATGTTTAAGTGTCTTTAATTTATACCTTTATCCTTAACCTCTTCAGTGAATTCTAGACTCATGCATCACTGGCCCAATTGATGTCTTCACTAATAGGTTGCTTACTGGATATTTTTTAAGTAATATATTAAAACTGAATCTCTCTATCCCCCGCCCCTCACTGTTTTCTTTACCAGGCTTTTTCATTTGTGCTAAAGTTCAGAACTTCAAACCAGTAATTTAAGGATCATATTAAATATCTCCTTTTCTCTATGCACACTACATCTGACCATTAACTAGTCCTGGGGGTTCTAGCTCTGAACTATCCATGTCATGCATTTCTGTGATGTTATGCAAGCCACATTATTTCACCTAAGTGAAGTCCTTGCTCTCACCCTTAACACCCTTATTTCATCCCTATAAAAGGGTCAGAAGCACCTTGATGAAGTATAAGTTAGATAGTTTTATCACACCCCTGTAAGCCTTTCAGTGCCCATTACACCTATAGTAAAACCTAAATTCCCACAGCGTTGACAGTTCCCAGGGAGATGACTATTGCTGCTTCTTTCATTTTCCTGCACACTATTCTCATCCTGTCAAGAAATTCCTACCACAAAGGCCTTCTGTTATTCCCATTTCGGTGTCTTTGTGCATGATGTTACCTCCACCTACCAGCTTCCGTTCAATTCCCCATTCCATTTTTCCAGTGGGCAGTGCCTTCTCATCTCAGTCCTCAACTCAAAAGCCCTTTACTGACCATCCATCTAATATGGCTGTGGGCATGCCAGTTGTCACATTCCACACAATTTTTCCTCAGTTTCTCAAACTAGGGCAAGTGATAAGATTAGAAATAAAGACAAACACACACAAATACAGAAAAGCAGGGCTCAGTGGATCATCAGAGCTCCTGATAGGAGGATGCTGGCTGGCCACAAGGATGCTCCACACGTTATTATATAGGTTTAAACATCAAAAGGATTTATTGTAAGAAAGCTTCTTTAAGATAAACTAAAGTGAGGTTGTGAGGAAAGCAGCCCCATTGGGGCTTATCAGCTTGCACTGGTATTTCTTCCACCCATGGGCAGCAGCTTTTGAACCTGAGGCTATTTGAACAAGTAAGTTCTGTGAGACACAGAACTCTCTTTGAGGGCGTCCAGCAACTGAGCATTCTCTAATGGACGAGATACCACTGCAAGTTTTCAGAAGGGTTTCGCCTCTACCTTGAGAAGGTTCAAACAAACCTGTAATTCATTCACCCCTCCATAACAGGAATATTGACTGAGAAATGGCCCTTGTTAATATTTTATATTTCTTTGTTATGACTATTTCCCTCCCTAAAATGTAAGCTGCAGGAGAACAGGGACTTTTCTGTTTTATTTATCATTTGGGGGTTAGAATGATTACTGGCACAAATAGGGTATTCAAGGCATATTGGTTGAATGTTGAATGAATAAAGACTTTAAGTCAACATCTTTAAGTTGTTTTGTGTGTCATTTAGTGCCTACCATAGTAGGTAGGTGCTCAACTGACGTTGTTTGGATCTCCCACAAGACTGAGTATCATAAGACACAGGGTGAGGGCAGACAAAGTTCAAAACTATGTACCATTTGGCTTTTCTACATCACCTGGTTCAATAATGATTTAAAATATGAGCCACAAAAATGGAGCATTGGAAATGGCATAAATTAAGTGAAATATTTATATAAGGAAAGGTTACTTTGATTTAAGAATATGTTTCATTGGGTATTCATTTCTTGTAATATTGCATGATATTTCACAATATAAAATATCCATCAGTTCTCTTTTTACATAGGAAAAAAATAACCTGTCTTCTCTTGCTTGATTAAAAACTGAGTACAGCAAAACACTGAAGGACTTTCTGATCATCAAAGAAAGATTAAATTATGCTTGGTGTCCTTTTACTGTTAATATATTTTAGCCTGACTTTTTGAGAAAATTCCAATCTCTTTTAATATAAGGTCAAAAAATTTTTGGTCATTTTGATTCTTCTAAAATAGAATACCACTGTTACTCTCAAGCCATTCTTTGATTTTTTTTATAAAGACATTTAGAAAGCTTAGACTAATTATCATCTCTTAAATGATAGGTAAAGTTTATTTTTCCTTTAAATTAACTTGAATGTGAAAAAGTTGCTTAGGGAGTTATTTCAAAAGTGACAATTTTTGATTTACATTTAGTAATTGTTAAGACTTGATCTTTTCAAAGACCAAAATAATATTTATTAATTATCATGTGCAGACTCATTTTCAGGAGACACTGTCCTTACATGCAACTATATTGTGGATCTGGCCCCTTCTTGAATCTCCACTTTGCTCTGTCTGTGCCCCCTCCCTCAGCCAAGTGTAGCTACTTTTAGGAAGGTGGTTAAGTGAGCAGCCAGAGGTCACATGCAGCTCTGAATACACTTCATTCTACTTTAGGGACCAATAAGAAAAAGAACATTTATTTTTCCACAAGGATTTTAAAGGGAGCAGAATAAGCAGTCACTGTGATTAGCCCACCCTGGAATTCTCTCCCAGGTTATGGGTAAAAAGTTAGAATCTATTTTCAGAAGACAGGAAAAGGAGAATAAGGCATATTAATACCTGCCTTGGCTGAACATAATGTATGCTTCCCACCTGTGACCAATCCTTCCCCAGTAAGAGGCCCCTTAAAATCTCCATAGAGCTTTTGCGTCCCAGGCATTTGATACTGTCAATGTCCAGACAATTCTCTGGATGATATTTATTTCTCTTCTTCATCAAACCCAACTGTTAGCTCCTTGTGATTCTAAGCAACCTGTAGGGAAGATGATGATTTTAACCAACCCTGGCATAATCAATATAAATTTGAAGCAAATACAGCTTTACCAAAATTAAAATTGTCATTTAGAAAGAAGAACGATGTTAGTCCCTAGTTGGGAGCATGTATCATATTCTGCTGTCAGTGACAGTAAACCTTGTTTCCCTGGTAGTGGAGCTCTGTGCTCAGCCCATCTGCCTAGCTGGTTGCTACCCACTGGAAGAATCTTCCTTCCTTGTTGTCCTCCCTGGCACCCTGAGAGGGCACTGGAGAAGAAGATGCACATAGTATGACTGTGATGACTGAGTGCCCACTTCATGTTTATGTGGGAATGTAAATTTGATGATAATTTTGTTACATTTAGGGAGGTTTCTTGTGTGTGCATGTTGTGATGGTGGATGTTTGTGCTATCTTTGTTTTTAATTTTGTTTTATTTTGAGCAATAAAACTTTCTAAAAACATGCCTACTGCATATCAATTTTACCACTGGAGAACTTGAGTCTAATAACTAAAATATATTTTTTAAGTCTGTGTTTTTATATGCAACTCTACCCTTAAAGTTCTAGCAACAAGCCTCAGGGCTCTGCTCTTCACTAAATCTGTATGACTTTTTTTGGTTTTGTTTTATTTTTATTTACCCTCTGTCTTGAGACCACTGAAGATAATAGGAATCTGTCACCTAAACACAGTCTTCATTCTACTTGACTTTTTCTTTCAAATGGTTGCTTAATTATTTCTTTTCTTTCTCCTTCTTTCTTCCATGTAAGGGAGGTATTGGGACTAGTCCTAGACTCCTGTCCCTTTTCGAGCTGAAGAGTGGCAGAGAGCTTTCTGAGCTCTCATACCATTTGGAAGCAGCGTCTCTCACGGAGGTTGCATAATCATGCTGGCAACCCTTCTCTGCCTGCAAATGAAGCCTAGGATATGACTCTTCGTTTTCTTTTAGCCCCTTGAGAAAAAGCCATGGAGAAAATGTTCTCAGGTTTTTATCTAAATTTTCAAAAGCAGCAGCCTCTACTAAACACACACACAAAAAAAATGAAACCTAAAAGTCAACCAACAATCATCAGTCATGCTGAATATTCCTCTTCTATTCATTGTCTTTTTTTACTTACCTCTCTTTTTTCTCTCTCTATAGAATGTATCCAAATCAGCTGTTTCTCTTGGCTTTAGTATTTAGTCATTGTTCTACATTTATCTGCTTGATGTCTTGTAATTTTCTCATTTCAGTCAGCCATAGGATCCCTCCATTCTTCCTTCTCTATTGCTCCCTCTAGTTGACAATCTTGTGTATTTTGGCACTAGATCCCTTTTCCATCATAAGACCAATGCCTGCTCCAGACTGATTATTCTTCACTCCAGTTCATATAATAATTTGCCAGCAGTTTTCCCCAATTATTTATTTTTCCTTTAGCCTATAATATTCATTTCTGCTTAATCTTCTTAAAAGGGAAAGCTGATAAATCAACCCCCTGCTCCTAAACCTTTAGTGATTTCATGTGTGAACTTTTCAGTTAGTGCTTTCTATGTGCCAAAGACCATGCTAGTTACTGCAGATAAAGTGATGAGCAATGCAGAGCAGTCCCAGCCCCTGGGGGATGTCTACAGTCTATCAGGAGGAAAATTGAACCCACTGTTGAAGACAGGCTCTCCCCAATGGTTTTCAGAACTCTCTCCAAAATGATCACAACTTTCTATTCTTCTCTTGATGAAGACATTCATGGGACCTTTACAAGATATCTTTGTGGTTTTTTTTCTACTCACAGATTAAAAAGTTGTATGTGGCAAGAACTCAGTGGCTTTTAGTGCAATCTGTCATTGGACTCTGACTTCAAGCTTGGCATAAACTTTTGGCATCTCAAGTTCATCATCTTTAAATGATAAAAAAATGATAAAACATTGAGTGCTTATATCAAAAGCAGAGACTCTTGTCTGCTCTTTAGTTTAGGTGTCTTCATGTGAAAAATTGGAAGAATGAGACTGCCAATGATTAAATAAGTTAACAAAGTGAAGCCCCTTAAAACAGTGCCTAGTCACCATAAATGCTAGTCTTAGCAATTTCTATTATTACTTTTCCAAGTAGGTTGTTCTAGTTATCTAGTTATCAAGAAACAGTTCCTTGCCCAAGACCACACAGTAAAGTTCTAGCTGGACATTCTGGTTTCAGAGCAGGAGCTAGTCACTACTACCCTACATACTCTCCATAACAGGGTTATAGGAAGACTCTACTTAAATAATCAACATTTAATAAAATTTATAATGACAATATACTGTGAACATGTGAGGTATTATTATCCATAATATAATAAGCTGTGATTAAAAGAGATATTGATTTCTTTTCTGTCCCAAAGCTTGAAATCTTTTAGCTGTACCAGTAATTTTATTAACAAACATTTCTATGAAATTATAGGATTTAGACAGTCCTTTAACATAAATAAATTTAGGTAATCCCACCGCCCTTGAGAATGGCAAAGCCAGTATTATTAACTCCTTCTTAGAAATGAGAAAGCCGAGGATGGCAATAGTTAAGTAAGTTGTCCAAGTGTTCAAAGATAGCAAATGAGGATGTCTCTGATGCACATCTGAACCTCCAAATGCTGTTTTTGCCTTACTGTAACACCCTGCTATTTCTAATGGTTTATTTTTCAACATATGAAAATCTAATTTTATAATATTGCTTACCCTTAAAAATGTATTTATGTGTACTAGTCAGCCTTTTGTTTTTATAATGAAATATCTAAGGTAAACACTTAAAAAGGGGGAAAAATTGTTTGGGCTCATGGTTTTAGAGGTTTTGGTCCATGGTTGATTGGCTCTGTCTCATTGGATTAGTGGTGAGACTAAACATGATGGAGAGCTTGTGATGAAGCATAGTTGCTCACATCATGGCAGTTGGGAAGCTGGGACAGAGGAAGGGGTAGGGTTCCCAATTTTTCCTTCAGGTAACCTAACTTCCTCCAACAAGGTCTCACCCACTAACGGCTCTACCATTTCCCAGAGTAAATCAGCTGAGGACCAAACCTTCAGTACTTGAGCTTTTGGGGGACATTGGAGATCTAAATCAAAACAATATGCAAATATTAATATATATTTGTGTTACAGTAGCATAACTTTTATTACTTGAACTTATATTCTTTCCTTTTTTCTTTTAAAGATCGTGATTGCTAGCATCATGTGCAGTTACAACAAAAACGACTGGGTGGAACTCTCCAAAAAGGCTGAGGTAATGGTTTCTTTAGCATATATTTATTTTATTTCTTCTCTCCTATTTTTATTAGCTTTAAATAAAAAGCTGCCATGAAAAATAATACAGTAGAATTGAAATTGAATTGAAAATGTAACTTAAAACATTTCTATTATAATTTGTTTACCCTATGTTTTCATTAAAATGATGGAAATGTAAATTTAAAAGGAATCTATTCTATAAAAGCGGCCCCTTGGATTTCACACACTACCTAAAAATCCTTTATTCTCTGAATCCATATACTCTCTATTTGCATATTAAGCAAACTGTATATTATGATGGATGCCATGATAAAATTTAATTCTACCTTCGAGAGTCTAACTTTATCTTACCTTGCCTTTAGGCAAACTAGTTTGACAGTAGGAGAAGAAATTTTGAATATAAAACTCCTGAATATTTAAAATATAAAAGCTTCATTTAATACTGTTCTCGTTTGAATACAGACATGCATAAAGTGGTAGGACAGAATGCTCCTGAATGGAACACTAGTCAGCGGGTTTTCCATAATATAAATCGAATCTTGCACAAATGCAAACAACTAACCATGTGCCTCAAATTTGTATTTCAAGTAGAAAAATTCATACTTAAAACTATATACCTTCGTCCATCATGCTGTCAGGGAACCTGGTCTAGACACTCTTAGCTGGAGTTTTTTGCAAATGTCTCAGTAATACAGAGGACTGAACCTAATAAGACATTTGAAATAATTGACCGTGCTTTATAAAATATTATAAAACTCTCTATAGTTATATCTTAAAAATGTTGATTGTACATTTTATGTGGATATTTTAAAGCTTCGAGAGGAAAAATTACTTCTGGGACTCAGGGGGGTGAAATTAAACATGATCAGTAATTGGCTTCGTGATCTTCTGTGCCGGGTCCATTTTATACATGTATTTACCTAATTGACCATGAAATCTTCCACAGAGCCCGTGGTTGGCATGAGCTTTGCCAATTTTAAGCTGACTATGATGAATGACTTTATCACATTGTATGCCTCTCTGCTTTTCTGTCAGAATAAAATACTTCAAAAATTTGTTTTCTTCAGTAATGAACATTAATTTTTAAATGGGTGAATTTACTTATAAAAAGTCAAAAGCCTTTAATTATAAACAAGTTAGCTAATAAAATGAAATTTTCACATTCTATATCTTTCTTTAGTTAGTTTTATTTAATATCATATTCTAAGTTCTCTAGAGCAAAAACTAGAGAGAGAGAAAAAACGAGGAGGAAAAGAATGGAGATAAAGGGAGGGAAAGAGCAAGGAAGGAACAAAAGGTATACTTTCTGTTAAGTCAAAACAGCCTAGTAAATGCTTCTCAGAATTGCAATCTACATATCAAGAATGTCGGTCTGTAGATGATGTCAATTTAAAAAAACTTTCCTATAATCTTAAATCTGGTCTAGCCTAGGGGTCTTCACATGAAGGATACATCCTCAGGCCTTCCCATCCCCTTGGAAGAGAGCATTAGCATCATGATTCCATCACAGCTCATGTAGTAGGCACCCAATTATATTTTATAGTCAGTATTTTGTTTTGTTTTTATGAATACATCCTTCAAAGCAGATTAAAATATATTTTCTTACAATGGAAGAGCCCACATTAAAAAAAAAATTCAAGCCAAAGTTACTATACTACCTAGCTTATACACTTCTTTGAGAAAAACAGAATGTAAGAAGTGAGATGCCATACCAGCACACTAGCATGCCAACGGCTTTAAGTTTGGCACATGACTTGATGTGATGTGAACACTTTAAGTTCATGAAGTCCTACTCCCGATGGTAGATTAATTTTTGAATTATATAATACGGAGTTGAGGAAACCTTATCAACTTTTTACTACTGTATCTAAAACCAGAAAAGATTTATGTGACATAGCAGAACACATGCAGCTATATGAAATCATGAGAGAATGAGGCCTGAGAAACTCTGTTAGAATTAAAATTTGAGTTACTATTTTTGGCTTGTTTCACAAGCCCAATAGGTTATTTTACTATTCCAAGTAGACATATAAGATCACATGGATAATTTTTTAAAAATGCATCCAAGTACATTTTTAAAACATTAATTTCAACTAAGTGCTATTTGTGAAAGTTAATGTATGCCCAGTCCATCTTCTTTATCATATTCATGCTCCTGAGAAGGATTGGTTTCCTACTAGCAATGACACCATGCTATGCCCAGCCTTCCTCTTGTATGTGTTTGTAATGTCCTCTCCTACCTTCCTCAGCCTGGTTTGAATACCTGTATATTTTGAGCTCCATGAAAAAGGAACAGCATCAGGAAAGTTTTACCAGGTTGGTGAAACTTTTGATGAAATCAGTAGAATGGTTAGGCTCTCCTCAATTTTCTTGGTCCAGGCATCTGGTCACAGACTTTTCTACTTTTCTGGGCATTGATAGCGTATCCCAATTTCATGCAGAAAAAGATTTATGAAGCACATATGATGTGAAAATTTCCTCAGCACACAACAAAAGTAAATAAGAGATACTCTTTGAATTGTGGATGTATTCACAGTTTAGAGCCATTACTGGACGTTATCATATTAGATCTGAAATAGACCTTGAATGCGTGTTGATAGATTTTGAGTCCATTTCTTTTTTACTGTGTATTAGCCTAGAAAATAGCTGAGTCACAATTAATGAGAGAAAACTTTACTAAAGAATATAATCCCAGAGCACTAAGAGTGAGGGAAAAAGAAAAATGAGACAGAGGTGAAAGGAAAGCAAGTACAGAATGATACATTATAGACCCTGCCAGAATGTCACAAGGAAATAGAGCGGATTGGGTAATTATGTGGGACAGAGAGTGCCATGCAGAATCATCCTGCCTCAGAGCAGCGTAAAGAGAAAGAGTGAGGAGGTACTTACTGGCTCCTTCCTGTCTCCTGTCTCTCATTGATCTTATTTCACACCACAGAGCCTTACTTTTTTCTGCACTTTCAGCTGTGTGCTCTGCCCATTTAGGCTGCTGCTAGGGAAGCCAGAACCCAGACCACGTGGGGCGATGCTTCATCTAAACCCAGAACTGCAGAGAAAAGTCAGATCTTCATGATCAGGCAGGGCACTGGTGCTCCTGCAGCTTCTATTTAGCCAAGAACAA